CGCACAGCATTCTCTATTGTAATAAATAGAGATAGCAATTTTCAGCCTTTATTCTTACATCCACTAGTTCTACTATAAAGTTGAGCTTGAGCCTACCCTAGGCTGAAAACGTTCCGCCGCCTATGCATTCCTGGCTTCTCTAGTGTTCTTAAGAGAGTAGGCCACCATAAACGATCGAACGCTGGCGCGAAATCGGCAAATATTACAAGCGCAGGTCGATTGACGCTGCTGTAGTGAGCCTTAACTCTTCTACAATACCTAAAATTCTACTCTGTAATCGTCTCTCAGCAGTAAAACCTGATTGTTCGTCTAAATGTATACCTTGATTTACACACCATTTTTCAATTCTCGTTGCTGTAACTCACTCGAGCTAGGTTCGGAAGTAAAGAGATAGAACGAAGACGGTCCTTTGTTGGGAATGTACCGTCCTTAAAGAGACAAATGCCCTTAGCCACTTTACCTCTCTCAAAAAAATCTCCTGACTCACCACATTTATTAAAAAGAACAGTTATTGTCTGTAAATATTCATAGGAAGTTGTTTAAGTAAGAACGCAGAGGTTTCTACACTGTCCAGTGATTTTTTGGACGTGAGTTTTTTTCACTGTGCAGTTACTTCATCGATTTTAATTTTTTCGAGTGGAATATTTGACGTATTTTTTATCTTTTCACAAACTTCGATACATCCACGATGAAAACTATTATTTGCATCATGGTTTGGAGTAGAGAAATGTTTCTCATAATAATCTGCTAGCTTATCGACTATTTCTTGACTATCTCTTACTACTGCATTTTCTGTTTTTAAATCACGAAATAACGGCACAAAAGGACGAAATACATTTTTAACATGACTCCAGATGTTCTGGCCTTCTTTCATAGTTTTTAATTTTAATTCTCTTTTTTCGTGTTCAAACTTTGTCTTTTCACTAATATAATTTCTCTCCAAAAATTTAAAATGATTATAATCTTCTAAAAGTCTTTTTCTCCTAAACTTTCGTTTTACTTTGTTGACATCTCTACCGAGTACAACTGAGTAAGGAGGCCATGGAGGTCTAAACTTCTTAATAGATTCAAAATCGCTACAACGATCACTTAAACTCGATATAAAATTAGAAAAAAGATTGAAAAAAGTATTATAATCTAAATTATGTACTAAATAATTTCATTACACATACACCGCTTTTAAGAAATAATGAAAAACTTTCCATTTCGTGTTTCTGAAAATGCCTTCTTCTCCTGCTGTGAATGGCGAAAAGAAAATAATGGGGAAATGGTCAAACGTTCCTTCAACTAACCTCTCCACATTCTAATATTCGGTATTTTTTCCAATTCCAAAGTCAATAACTGAGTTCGACTTTTTTGAGGTAGGAGAGTAGGTATGGATTACATCGAAACCGTTCTCATCCAACCATTCACGAGTTTGTTGCCGCTTGCGTTACTATTCACACAATTCCATCCACTGTGTTTGCAATTAAAATCTCCAAAAACGTAAATCTCTTTATCTTTATTCTTCTCGATTAAATCGAATGGTGGTATACAGTCAAGAGGAATATAAACGGCTCCTAAGAAGATTTTTTTATTTAAAATTTCAATTTCTAACAGAAGAAAGTTAACGTTATTAATAACCGCACGCTTAATTTTATTATGCACTAAAATAGCTACTCCGCCAAAACTATTACTACCAGTCTGAGAAAACCATTTGTAGTTTGGAACTGGTCGCAAAAATTACGTATCTGCTTCACTACCCCAGTAAGAATGAAAAAGTGCGGAGAATGAGAAGATAAAAGAGAATCGATGTCTGAAATATGAGTCGATAAACCCTCACAGTTCCATAGAAATAGTTTAAGATTTTCAGATACAGCTTCAGGTCTCTGTTTGTACCATTTCATACAAAGATCACTCACGCTCTCTCTCTCATTCCACTCATACACAATAGAAGTAAAAAGATCTTTCTCATCCATTATCAAATCAAATTGTTCCACGATTCCTAAATTTACTTTTGGATCACAGTATTTAAAATCTACATTATTCATGAATATGATTAAATGAAACATCCATCGCTTTGTTCTTGTATTTCCGAGATATTATGAAGGTCTTCTAGGAGTTTACAGAATTCATTATGCATTTCATCGATGTAATCAATTTAAAGTTTAAGTGAACTAATAATATCATCAAAATCATTTACATTCAATTGTGTTTTCAGTTTTAATGCCATTGCCTGAAATTGTTCGCTCGCTTTTTTACATGTGCCAAACATTGTCCGATTGATAGCTCTGCTCATTCCTAAAATCATTGTCTGTTGCGTCTGTTGAGCTTGTTGCATAATCAAACATACATTATTAATATTAAACATACTCGATTGATACTTCTTTTCAATTCTTCTCATTTCAACTTCATGACGTTCATTAGCTTCGCTCATTTCTCTCGATAAATTCTTTATTGATTCATTCAAATTAGTCTTATCTGTTGTATTGAAAATTGTTGTATTTGATCTAATAGGTCACGTACTTTGATCAGTGGTTGAGAAGGATTGAACTTGTTGATAATAATAATTCTGTTGATCATATACTTCATCATTATGAATAATTCTCGAATCATATTTATTATTACGATATTCCGAAGGTATGAATAACTGAACGTCTGGAGGTGATTTTTCGGGATGTTTTCTCAGTTGCTCAATTAAGCGACGTCTGAACTTATCAATTAATGAGCATTTGTAATCCGTAGCAATGTGATTTCCTTTACAATGGTAGCACTTGATTTCACAATTTTGATGTTCAGCCATATTTTTTCTGTCTTTTCTGCATCTTCTGCATTTAGCGAATTCGGAATTACGACATGAGGTCTTCGTATGTCCTGGCTAATTACATCTGTAGTAAATAAGAATTTTAGGAGGAGGAAGATATTCAGACACATCGTACCGTTGTCCATATAAGTTTACTGTTGCTCCATTCAATAATTCATTATATTCATTCATATCTAGTAATTCAATTTTTACATGTCGATTTTTATCATTAATTGTTCCTGATATATCATCAATTGAAAAAATACTTTTGAAATCTTGTTGTTTGAATTCTTCTCGAATATCTTCTAAAGAAACTGTAAGATCAACGAATTTGATAATTGCGATGTGTTGAGGTGGAAGATGAACTGGAGGAAATGGAGTAAGTTTGATACCATCGACTTCGTTTGGATATCGATCTTTTTTGCATAAGTAAGCATAAATTTCTGTAGTTCTTATACTAATTTGTAAATCTCCATTCAAATCGATCCACCATTGATCAGATAGAATAGGTTTTATATAAGATGGATTCTGTCGGTGGAATTCATTTTCATAAATTTAATCAATTCAGTCACAATTCTAAGCCCTTGTTTTTTATCGTTTAATTTGGGTTGACATTCAATTTTGAATGGAGTAAGGTGATAGTGACTAGCGTAATTTAAAGCTTGATTCGTAATTATGATATTAGAATTGTTGTTCATGTTAGCTCCGTTGGAACTCTGATTATTTGGAAAAGAGGGTGGAGGCTGACGTAGAAAATTACCGTTATTCTGATTGGAATTCGTAAATGTTCTTGTAAACTGTTGAAACTGTCGAGTGTCTATCTCGATATTATTATCATTGTCATTTATTCGTTTCTGTTTACTGTATCGAACTTCTTGCCAGTCTCCATTCATGCCTTCATATTCATCATCAGATCCATATCTCGGTGCATCACTAGTTGCCACTCTTTTTAATGATGACGATCCATTTTTATCTTGTTGTTGCATTTTTTTCGCGGTGTCTTCTAATCCTTCACCATTACGTAATCTATCTTTCCCAGAAGCCGTCGTATTGTTATAATTATCATAATTCATTCTCCTCTAAATACTTCAAATTATGACTTTGTTGACCTTTTATTTTGTTTAAAATTTGACTGGAGAGAAAGAAAGATTTTGTTTCCCATACATATACATATAATATTATATGTATACAAAGAATATTTTGTAAGAGAGAGGAAGGACGCAGAGATGTTGACTGTATACGTGACAGGAAGAACGTTTTACGATTTTTACTAGTGACCACGTGTGAAAAATAGGACGCGCATAGTTTCCGTGAGCAGTTCACGCGTCGTCACAAGCGGAATATATTTTCACACCCGCCCACACACCATTTTACGATGTTCATGTGCGACCACAGCTCATTGCACGATATTCACGAGTGTACACGCCGTTTTATATACTAAAATTTCCACATGGGTAAACTGACCGCCATATTCCCAAGTGCCATCTGTTTCTAAAACTTTATCTTGAACTCAGTTCATCCACATTTAGTTATCCACTTTCGCTTAATTATCATTTTTAAAGAAAAATGTTTGCTCTTCACAATGAGCCATCTCCGAGGTCTATAAAAGCTTTCTTCGCAGAACTATAATCTTGACAAAACGTGACTGACTTACGGAAAAGTGGGCGGTTACGTACACAGGCTGTAGCCTGTCTCGCCATTTTCATTATATCATGATATAATGGAAATGGCGAGACATATCTGCACTACATTAAAAAGGTTGAAACAACGCTACATACATTCACCTATTGCTTTAAATAAGTAATAAGTTTTTTATATAAAGAATCTTGTTGCACACTACTATAGTGCGGTACTACTATCTGTGCCAGAAAACAAGACAAGTGGTTGCTTTTTGGATAACTTTTGATAGGAGATAGATAGAGGCCTGCAATTTTCGCTATTCGATAGCCAAGACTTGAGCGGAACTCTTCACAAGCAAAAATAACTATTGAAAAATTTTCAAAGACTGGGTTTCCAGAAGATCTTTGGAAAGTCAGCTCCATTCTCAGAAAACTAACATACAATGTTAGGTAAATCTTTTACATGCGTAGGTAGTTCGGACGTTACTCTACAAAGTCCCAGCTCTCCAGCTATCGTCGTTCGGACAGTGCTCGCTTTCCCTGTGCACGTGTCTGTCTCTGAACAGACATCTCTGGGAATCTCGAAATTTCATGGAATATAGGTAACGTTCGGACTACCTACACACGTAAAAGACTTACTAACATTATATGTTAGTTTTCTGAGAACGGAGCTGATTTTCCAAAGATCCTCTAGAAACCTGATCTTTGGAAATTTTTCAATAGTTATTTTTGTTTGTGAAAAATTCTGCTTAAATCTTGGCTATCAAATACCGAAAACCGCAGGCCTCTGTTTAACTCCTATCAAAAGTTATCCAAAACGCAACCATCTGCCTTGTTTTCTGGCACTGATAGTAGTTCTAATACAATGGTTTTAACTATGTGAACACTTTGAAGAAGGTATTTTTAAAGCTCTATGTTACTGCGTACACAGAGTTGGTCTGTTGCTTCAGACAGCTACCTTATCGTTAAAAAATTAATCGAAAAGGATTTGAAAAGTAACTGAAACCAGCATGATAGTTACCAGTTACTTTGTAAGTGAAAACTCATTATTGCAATTACAAAAGTAATAGTAAATTGATAGTTACGTGTTACTTTTCCAACTAATAACGTTTTCATTACTTTCCGTTACTTTGTAACTAAAAGTAATGGGAACTGCAACACCCCTCGTTGTATTCGTTACCTATAAACGTACTGACTTCATGTATGGTACCGGCTACTCTTCCACGAATGAAAGTTTTTTCGCACACTCTCTCGTTCACACTGCATCCTAGACTAAAAGTCGGTCAGCGGACGATTCATGGCATCTAAGTACATTACTCTCACAGTTATGTATCAAAAGAATAAATAATTCAATTTTTATGGTTCTTTTCAACTTTCATTCTCTTAATTTTAACAAAACACATTATTTGTTCGTCTTGATCTACTTGAAACTCCTGAGGCAGTCATAAATAGTAGTGTATACTGTAGTTTAACATTTTACAGAAGCAGAAGGATTTTGGAGCTTGCTACACGAGACATATTTCTCTTGTATTTCAAAAAACAACCATAAAAATTCTTAAATTAGTTTAATCGTTCTCCACTAGTTCTATTTGCATTGGATCATTTTGTTCGACTTTTTTCACATTGAAAATGGTATATGGAAGAATCAGAACTTCTTCTTCTTTGTGGTATTGTGATATTCCCTTCATATCTAAGGCTGACCGATGATTTTTTATAAGATAAGTGCATAAGACAAGGAACTCTTTCTCTTGATTAGGAAAGCCTTCAGCAATGTTACGATTTTTCGATGTCGATAGAAACGTTATATTCATTATTGTTGTATTTTCAGTATATGTCGAAAGATCAAGATTTTTAAATAACATGGCACGATAGACTTTCCCTACAAAACGGTGTTTGTCAAGCAAAGGATCTTGGGCGATAATTCCATAAAAAGATGATTGCCACGTATATCGGGTTCCCGAATATCTCAGGTAACCTTGTTCTTCTCGTGCCAGGGTTGAGCATAACGCTGAATAGAAACCGATCTCAGCCGTACACGCACTTAGAAGATAAGTTGCATCGTTACTATTTTTAGCTTGTTGAAGAAGCACACGAGTATTAGACATTTTCTTGATACCAAGTAATTTTTTGTTGTGTAGTATTTCTCTAACAGTCCGATCTAATCCAAGATTTTTTATATATCGATCTCGATATGCACGATAAATTGGATCATCAGGAATTATTTTCCATTCAAGCATAGTTGTATTAGTACCAAAACGTTGATAACGAATCTTGAATAAGTGTGTAAATAATTGTCCTATTTGGTTGGTTTTAGGTTCTTCATATGATGTTAAACGATTAGGTAGATTTTTTATTTGGCTTGAAGCACCTCTTTCTAATAACAGTTTAACAATATTATAATGTCCTTGAAGCGTTGCTTCATATAATGCGGTGGTGTCATTTGACTCTCGATGATTTATTTCATTTAATGTCATAGTTTCAAGATATCTTTTCACTTTTTTCATGTCATTAGCACGACATGCCATATAAAATCTACTTAGATTGTTGTCGGATGAGTTAAACTCCACTTGTTCTCCCATTAGTAGAGTAATGCAAACGTGTAAAATAGTTTACAAGTTAGCAAAAACATATATTGCATAAATGAAATATAAACAGTTCTTTCTAGTCAAAATTACACAACGACAAAAAGTTTTTCTTCAGGATGAACTATATTAAAGTTATAATATTTAGTGCTTTAAATTTTGTTCGTAAAAGTTAAAATAACCATTGTATTGGAAAGAAGAACAGAGAAAAAAACCATTTTTCATTTGAGGATCATTTTTTATTTTGACGTAGATATTTCGCAGCCCACAGTATTGTAACTACGAAGAAGAAAAATAAAAAACACCATATTTTTTTATCTGACAATAAATTTGATCAAAGAAAAGAATAATGGGAATAAAATAGAATACGAATATTTTGCTATGTAATGTTAGGAGCCATTGCACGGTAAAGACAGCTGTTTTTCGCACAAGTTGCTCAATCAACGTCTGAGTTTAGGTAGCAATGACATATTTAGGAAGATTCCCAAAATTATTTCATCGACACTTACTTCAAAAGTTATGGAATTTTTCGTAAAAGCAGGCTGAAACGATAACTATATAAAAGTGAACTTTCTTTTGTTCATATCTTGTTCTAGAAAATCGATCCAGGGTTCACATTTGGAGCATAAGTAGTCGAGGTCAAGTACTATGTGCAAAAATAACTGTGACACATGTGCGAACATATGCTCACAACAAGTAATACAACATTTCACTAGTGCGAAGACTTTCATATAATGTTTTTTTATCTGAAAAATATATTATTGCATTTAATATTATGTATAGTTTGATAGTCTAACATGAGTACTGATCATTGGCATACGAGTGTCAAAATTTCCAGTGGTATCGGATGAGGAAACCCATCAGCAAAATAGGCTATTTTTCATACTTTACTTCCTTTTGAGCTCACCCTACAACAACTAAGCAACTTGTACGAAATGAATTCATAGTTTATAGTAGAAATACAATTACAGAATAGATATAAATAATATTAACTGCTATAATATATTTTTCAGATAAAAAATATCTTATACTTTAATCTTCGATGTACGTAATAAAAGACCACGAGCTCTACCCGTTGATATATCATGTAAAAATCCATCTCAATATAACTGGACAAAACGGAATCCTTGTAACTGGGAAGCTGACGTAACACTTGGTGAGCTTCTCTTGTTGATCAATTCAACCATCAAACAGTCTATTTTCATCTTACTAACCTGACTTATCAGCTAGTAAATGCAAGAAAATTGCTGGGTAATTCCACTGATTAAAGCATAAAAATCAGTTAAAGGCAGAAAAGTGAATAGAACAACGATCTCATAGAATAATATTTGTCTGAAGTAGTAGAAATAAAGCTACTGCACGTGTATGAACCGAACCGTAGCTACACACAAGTCGTAACCAAATCACCACGGACAATAACTATTTAGCAAAATTCACTCTAATCACTTCTTTTTTCAATATGTTGTCCTTTTCAAACGTAAAAACAAAAATTCTTTCAATAATAATTTTCACACAAAAAGCTCGTCGTGACATTTACTTATCACACGGAGCCGGATAGAGCCTTTTAAGATTCAAACCCAAAAGGGGCTCTATCTCACACCTTTTATTCTTTCGGATGAAAGGTTCTAGTCACAAATGTTTCAGTGCCATTCAAGTGGTTCGATATCGAACCTTTACAAAAGAAGGGTCCGTACAGGACCTCTCTCAACAAGACGTTCCTTATGGATTCCTATTTTTCCGCGTCCTGCGTTTCTTTTCGTACAGTATTCTACTGTTATATTCTCTTATTCATATACCAGATGCCCGGCATACGCACTAAACAAAACACGTCGTTTATTAGACCTCTTGTGGGTTTAGCAAAATGCAATGACACGCTACTGCTTCAAAAGTTTAGTAAAAAACAAAGGTTCAAGTTAGAACCTTTTTTAAAATGTTGAACCATTTTTATTTGAAATGGTTCTTGACATCGCCTCAAACCTTTGATGGTCCAGTACAAAAACTATCGAACCTTAAAAGGTTCCATCGGGCACCTTTTCTTTCTAGAGAGTATACAGTGTTGTGTAACTTTAGATGACACAGAGAAGAAATACATTCATGTAAGAAAAACACATTGCACCTTGTACCAAAAACCTAGGATTCCAGAATCTTCTAGTAAAATATTTTTTGATACAAATTTAAGTAGAGCTGGAAAATAAAATGTCTTTTTTATGGGTTTCATCGATCGCAAAAAATATGTATGAATAGTATACTTTTTCTCCAGTTAAGAACATGTCGCAATCCGTTTATGTTTTCGTAATACATATCGCAAGAAAGAGAATGAAGATGATGGACTTAAGGACATGTCGTTAAGGAAATTGAACTATTTAGTTTACAAAGGAAATGCGTTCATTTCGTTCTAAACGAAAGACAGGAATAAAAGTTATAATATACTTAAACTATCACCGATGTCACATAGGTGATGTGAACGTGAAATTTACATTTTTTATCTCGAAAAAGATTTTTTTCAGATTAATTGAGATTACCATGATTAGACAGGCAAGAGCATCGAAATTCAAAATCTTTTTTTTCTAGAAATTTTTGTACGAAAGTCGTAATAGTAGCCCCCCATAATACAAGCCCCCCCCCCCACCAAATTTTGAACGCTTGGACAGTTTAGAAGCCCCGGAGGCTTCTATTATGGGGGGGACAGTTAAAAAACTCACTGGCAAATTAGTTATATACCCACAGCCAAAGAGAAACTATGGATATTATTCTTTATCATATAAATTATTTTATATAATTGTAATGCAACCATTGAAATTTGAAGAAAGGAGGGTTGTTAAGTAGTTCTTGTTGTCTTCGTTTCGTTCTTCTTTTTTACATCATATGTTATATTATAAGGTTATATGTTTATAGTGACCTTTCTCTTCTTCTCTATTCTTCTGAAGTCATTAGATCCTTTTCTAATCCTTTCTCGGACTTTCGGTGATATGTATATATAGCTGTATTTTTGCGAATGTATAACATAGTAATTTGTTACTGAATAAAATTAGAAAATTAATCAAGATAGTTTTACTACATAACAGGATATAATCATCGGAGAATACATTAATTACTCAAAAATTGGTAAAATGCGCAGAACGTTTTTCCCCCTTCATGGGAGACCTGATGTTTTTATCAATGGATTCGCTCACCGCACTCTACTAAATGAGTTGGGTCTCAATTCGACCGATGCAACTGCAGCTGACTGAGATATCGAGAAAATATTGAGAGAATCATTCTACTATGGAACACCTGCTATAAATGAATTATGTGTATTTATCACCGACAACAACTACTAAAAGATCTGACAACGACATGTTCCAGGGCTGATCGGCGATGTAAAATGCTGTAATATAGAACTAAAAGTACCTGTCGTTAACATGAGTGATCTAACTGGTGTCTATCGTTTCGTTCTTACCAAAAACAAAACACAACAACACAACAAAAAATATACATTGAAGGATAACATCGAGTCATTGCACAACTTCACTCATTGCGCAGAATATAGGAAACAGCAGCGAGGTTGATTTTTGCAGTTCGTCTGCAAAGATCAAGTTCGTGTGTTCGATCCCAGCTTCGTGCAAGGATTGATTTTGTGTTTTGATAATTTAAGTTTCAGAATGATATAATGGGAATTTATATTCTCGATTTCGTTCCGGTTCAAGATTACAGGCTTAAACTAAACCAACTGGTGTCTATTGAATATATCATTTTTCATTTTTTTTCTTTCATTGTTTTGCTTAGTTATCATCGTAGTTTTCAAAATCATCGTCCACGCACTGTGTATGTCTACAGTGATCAACATGAAGAACAGAAAGACAGCATTCTTCTTGAATATTTTACTGGTGAATATCAGTCATCAAAGCTACTAACATGTGAAATTAGTAAAAACTTCCCGAAACCATTCTCTTTTTCATAAAAGTTTTTTCCTGATATTATTTTTAAGTTGAAAAGCTTTTCAATAACTGTGTCTTGTTATAAAAATGTTTCAGCGACAAATTAAAAGAAATATTATCAAAAAATCTCGTTTTCTTACCACATTATATCACAAATGTGACTTTTTCAAAGGCTTCCCGCAAGATGATCATAACTCGATCAGAAAACATTGTGGAAAGCTGGGAGTGGACTTATTTTGTAGAGGACACTTTACTGGTAGATTTTGCTGACTATTAAATTGAAATTTTAAAATCTGAAAGTTCAACTTTTTTAAAACCGAAATTTCTCAATTTTTCTTCATAGTAACACATACTTTCAAATAAACCATTGTATAGTGTGTAAAAAAATTGAACAAACATAGGAGCTTGTAAGATTTCAAAACGAGTTTCCCAACGTTGTTGCAAGGTTGTTGAAGTATTGTTACTGGCAAAAATTTTTTTTTTTCTTTTGTTGTATTGTGAAAATTTATAAATTTTTAGAAGGGGATATGTACGAACTTGTACAGGAAGACTTGCTCTATCGAGTGGTGTATATGTTGTCGAATCGTAATGTACTCCATAAGAGAAAATTAAAGGTAACTCCTCTAGAAATGTTTTTTATTTTTGGGTTAAATATTGTACATTATAGAGTAAAGTATCCGCTACAAAATAAGGCCATTTCCAACTCTCCACAATGTTTTCTGATAGAGTTAGGATCATTTTGCTAAAAGCCTTTGAAAAAGTCGCATATGTGATATAATGTGGTAAGGAAAAAAGATTTTTTGATAATATTTCTTTTAAATTGTAGCTGAAACGCTTTTATAATGAGACACAGTTATTGAAAACCTTTTCAGCTTAAAAATAATATCAGGAAAAAACTTTTATGAACAAAAGAGCATGGTTTTCTGAAAGTCCTACTCCCCGACTTTTTCAAACCTTTTCAACATCACCGGTAGAAAGGCCATGCTATGAAACCTTTAAACGCCAGGTTTCATTAACTTTGGTTTA